CGCCCAGCCTCGCCTCAGGGCCGCTCTCCCCGAAGGGGGCTGGGGGAACATGCCTTGCCGCCCTCGCCGCCGCCCTTCTCGTTCTTCTTCAGGCGGAGGCCTTCCCGCGGCGCTACTGCGCGTGCGCACTCTCCGGCACTCTGGCTGAGCATTCTGGGAGTAGAAGTCCGGGAGCGGGAGAGGCGTGGCTCTGCGCGGGCGGCGGTTCGCGCGAAATGTATTGCCTGAATGAACCTGAACTGAGGCTACCGAGGTTCGGTCTGGAAGGGTTTGGAGGCGAAGAGATGCGGGAAAATAGCTTTCTAGTCGTCCCGAGTTTTGTAGCCCAGGTGCTAAGCCCTGGTTGTTCAGGTACAATTTGTGGAAGAAGCCACAGTTGATTGGAGGCAGGCAACAGGCTAAACCATCATGCTCGAATTACGTATAATGCCTGGAGTCGTAACTTATCCCTCACCATGGTTGTTTCCGCAATTGGCTGGGTTTGCAGACAGTAAACCACAAAGCATGTGAACCGAGCGTAGAGAATTGTCCGGAAGGCTTTTTCAGGTGGAAATGACGGAGTGATCATGCGTATCAGATTAAAAGTTCATCTCAAAGTCAATCTAGATCCCATCACTGGGCGTTAGTGTTACCTGGAATTTTAGGCTTCATCATTAGCATTTCAGTAAAGGTGATATTAGCATTTTAGCATGGCATCCAGGCCTCTTGAAGTTTAGGAAACCATGTTTTTCCTTTGAGCCAAAACCATATCCTTTGATGTGCAAAAACTAGCCCTTTCAGGGACCATCAATCGAACAATGGGGCTGTATTCTGAAGTCCTTGAGTGGTGCAAGTGTTCAAGAAACAAATGTGGGTGGGAAAGGAGGAGATGCAACATATTTTAAGGGTGTCTTCCTTTCCCCATCTAATCAATGTCTTTTATTGTTTGATTTGTTGCTTTCTGACTCCTCACATATGTGGAATGTATGTATCATTTGTTTCTGTGCCCTATAGAAAGACTTGACACACACACCCTTAATAAAATGCTTTTCACTTTGCCAGAAGTACGTGTGGTTTGTATTGTTGGGGTGGGGGGCGAAAAAGCCACTTTGCAAAGCTATGGAGTGTTTCTCTCTCAAATTCAGGGACTAGATTCTTTCCAGCTCCACGCCACTCGGGTGCCTGAGTTTCATAGGCAATGGTAGGAATAACTCTGAAATCAAAATATATCTCCAACCCAAACAATGTGTGGCCGCCCTAGAATCTGCAGGTGTCAGGTAGTTACATCTTGCCCTGAACCTCATTGACAGGGAACCAGAGGAACTGTGGCATGAAATTAAAGTTGTTAGGGATGAATGTGAAGAGACTGCCAAAGACCAAGAAGCAGAAGAAAGCAAGCTGGATATCAGAATGAACAGTGGAGATTGCTGGGAAGAGAAGTCAAAGCCAAGGCATACAAAGATCTCAGGAAGGCACAAAGCATTTCAGAGAACTGTTGGAAAAGAAAAGTATTATAACACTTGCAAAGCCACTGAAGGTGAAAACTGCCATGAAGAAACAAGGAATGTTTTCTAAAAAATCTACAAACTCAGGAGACTCCAAGTTCAAATTGGTATATTAAAGAACGCCAATGGCCAGAAATTAGCTGATTCAGAGAAGATCAAACAGAGATTCTACACAATTACAGTACAGGGCTGGTTCTAGGCCTAGGCAACCTATTCAGTCTCCTGGGGTGCCAAAATTGAAAAGACTTCTGAAATACACTATATAACATCTGATAATATTTCCCTGTTACTTCAGAACTTTTTCTTTCTACACTTTTTGAAAACAGGATGGATTGGAAGAAGATGGCCATTATTTTAAAAGCAGAGGAAATTGCACTTTTTTCAAGAAACACAGTAAAACATGGGGCTAAAATTAAAATATAAAGATCAAACTAATGACACAGGTACAGCAACCAGCCTTAAATGGACAACAAAAACATGAATTTATTTATTAGATTCATATGGCTGCCCAATTTGCAGCCGTTAAAGTGGTGGATACTTCTGCCTTTTAGGATAAGTGGCAGTAAAGAAACCAGCAGTCCAAAAAATATGCTTCAGGTTAGCATTTGGTAGGGTAGCAATGAAGACCTTGGAAAACATATGCAGATACCATGATGTATCAGTAAGTCAAAGATTAGAATTGTGCAGATAATGGTTTTCCTTTTGACACCGTGTGGATGCCAAAGTTGAAGAAACAGGACTGAAAGAATATTGATGCTTTTGATGTTGGAGAAGTCTCTTGAGAATATCGTGGATAGGGGAAAAAAGGATCACAGAATGAATAAATCTAGAATTCTCACTTGAAACACAAATGATTGGGCCCAAACTAGCATATCCTACACACATTATGCAAAGTCCCAGCTGCCTTAAGCAGCCCAGGATGCTGGGGAAAGTGGAAGGAAAGAGGATGAACATCACCAAGGTGGATGGGCTTGATTACAGCAGTAATGAAGGCACCACTGAGAGCCCTAAAAGGCCAGATTAAGGACAGATCATCTTGGAGAGAATATTATCTATGTGATGGGACTTAATTAGCCAAAATAGAGATTGTAAGCAAGAAGCATGGATTTGTGTTACGTACACTTTGTATAATTAAACTATAAAATCCTACTTCAGTGTATAAGACAAGGGATTCATCCAAGGGCACTATAGCAAATCCTTACCTGGGAGTATTCCACATTGCAAGGATGGGGACATGATGTGGGTCCTCCCTTAAAGATTGGTGGGTAAGATAACATCCAATAAAACTACTTCCTTTTCTCTAGTTTAAGAGTGATTGTAATCATGGAATGTCTATTCAGCACATTGCAAAGAGTGAGATAGGATAATCTGGGCCTGGGCAATTATTGTAAAGACCTTTTGTCTACTAAGTACTACATTCTCCAGAGAATGCCTGGCATAATATACCATGTTTCCCAAAATACAGTGGTAGGATTCACACAACTTGCTAAGCCCAAATTAAATAAACCATGTGTACTTTATATATATGTGTATATGTGTACTTTAGTGTCTTCAGCCAAGATAGCCAAGTGGCAGGATGAAACTGAAGTGGGTCTTCCCCAAAGGGAAGCTTTTTGTAGCAATGGGGTGTGAAGGGTAGGAGGTAGTACTGTTAGGAGAGGAGAATGATGCCAAATGCAGTGGGGCTGGCTTACCAGGTTTTATAGTTGGTAAAATGATAGATGTTGGCTACATTCACACAGCACGACCTGGCTAAGAAAATAATCCATATGAAACTGGGTTCATACAACATGCTAAGCCACAAAAAAAAATCTAGTCAAGATTAGTAACCAGAATTAGCATACACGCAGCTACTAGATCGGTAATAGACCAGGCTAAGTGTGTTGCATGAAAGTAGCTGAAGTGTGATAACAAATGTTAAAAGGTTACATTCTACTATATTCTAAGCCATAGTGTGGTTTAATTATTTTGGATTTACTGTGTGATGTGAACCAAGACATCTTAATTTGTCAACCATGGTTCATAGCTCAGCATATTGTTTGAATCCAAACAAGTATGGTTTATTCAATAAACAATAGTTAAACAATATTTGAAACAGGTGCTCCAGAAACCAAAACATGGTCTACTTTCTTTCAATATCAAAAGGTTTTAGTCAAAACATGTTGCCTCCCTAGTTATTCATCAAGGCCTCACTCCCTTCACTTGAGGACTGTAGGCATTGTCAGGGGCTTCTGCCCTCCAAGCTTTCTGGAATCCTAGAGTTGGAAATTGAACCCAATCCTGCCCAATGCAGGAAGCCAAGTTTAAGCATTTCAGACTAATGGCTGCCTTGGTTTTACCTGAACACATCTAGGAAAGGAGAGTCAACCACCGCCCAGATAATGAATTCCATTGCTGCACTACTTTGAATGTTAGGAAGCCTTTCCCAACGTTCAGCTGAAATCTGTCTTCTAAATTCAGTTTGATCCAGAATTGTGGGTACGCCAATCAGCAGCATCTTAAAATACATTTTAGCGTAGCCAAAGCCACTCCAGAACAAGCATATACATGTTAGAAATGGTACAGGTGGGCTTAAATGCAAAATCTGTACTTTAGACTTGAAAGCATTATTATCTGGAGACATTTATTTCAAGTTGTTCTAAACATTCAATGTCTCTCTGGGCCGAGTTGTCAACGTAGTAATTGCAACAACCTAATTGCTATCATTTAGCTAATTCTGAATAAAAGATGTTATATTTAGCTGCTACAATAAAAAAAAAGAGATCTGTTAAAAGGTTAGTCTTTGACAGGTTGACAGGAATACTGAAATGCTCACATTACGCCATAAAGTGACGTAGTTTGGTATTTAACTCTTTCTCTTTGTTTAGCAGCTCTGTGCTGTGCTTTCTGTAAGCTTCAAAATGCATCCGGAGCTCAGTGTAGGCTTGTTCTGCCCCATCAAGGCGGAACTTCAGATCTCGAACTCGGAGGTTACTGTCCACCATTGCAGCTTCCGTCTCAAACTGTAGTTCGGCTGCCTGCTTGGCTTTCTCCATATCTTCTGCCTTCTTCTCTAGTTGAAGGATCTCCCGTTGCTTTTCCTGCAGCAACTTGCCTCTCTCCATTGCCAGGTTCAACAGCTCCTCTTTCTCCTTCGTTAGCACCTCCAGCTTAGCTTGCAGACTGCTATCAGCTTCTCTTAGCTGTTTCTCTGCTTGTTCCAGTCGCTGGGTGGCGTGCCTATGCTTCTTCTCTAGGATTTCCAGTTGACTTTTCAAGGAGTCCTTTTCCTTGATGTGTGCTCTGATTTGTTGCCTCTGTGCTTCCAGCAGTTCTTTCTCTCGTTCTTCGGCAGAATGGCAGTCCTGCTGATAATTTTCCTTTAAGGCCTCCATTGCCATGGAAAGTTTCTTGAACTCAGAAGAGAGCTGGGCCAGCTCTGCCTCTTTTTCTTTCAAAGGCTGGCTGAAGAGGCTTTCATTCTCTTGCCGCAGGCGCCTGTTTTCTTCTCTCAGCTGCTTATTCTGCCGTTTGTGCTCATCCTTGAAGTGGATCATGTCTTCGTGGTTGGCAGCCAAGTCCATAAAGCGCTGTTCCAGCTGCTGGACACGTCGTGTCTGAGACTCCAGTCTTAAAGCATCTGCCATTCTCATCTCCTCCAGCTCTGTGTTGACCTGTTCCAGTGCCTTGCAGCGCAACAGTTGATCATCAGCTCGCTTCTTTAGGATACAGATCAGCTGAGACTGTTCATTGATGCGTGAATGCAACAATGCCTTCTCTCCCTTCTCCCCATCAGAAAGACCATGGAGCTTCTCCAAGTGGTCAAAAGGGTCTCCCATGCTCCATTCTAGCTCTCCTTCCACCTCTTTGGGTATTTTGTGGGGAAAAGACATCTCTGCATCCTTCCTGTCCTGAGGCATATCAAGGAACAACTTTACTTGCTGTTCCAAACTCACGTTCCCCAGCAGTTTCCTTCAGGTGAACATTCAAAACTTCTGAACTGCTCTTCAGATGTTCTGTGAAGCAAAATGGCAGTTGGTGGAAAGATTCCAAGAATTCTGTGACATCACAAGCTAAGAAAGTTCTGGGCTTTTCAGAACTAGCACAGTTTTCTCCTATCTCTTGATCCTATTGCATTCCTTTTGCACTGCAGATGAAAAACACAGGTTTGTGCTCAACAGGGAAATGATGTAATTCCTCAGTCTGTTCAGGAACCAAAGAGCATGAAATCAATCCATATCTAGTAGACTTTGAGTTGGGTCAGTTCTTGGTATCAGTCAATTCACAATAAACAATACCCTAAGACCAGGCAAATGTTCATCTTTTCAACTGGTGCCTTCTCAAATCTTCCTGAAGAGAAATAAGATCCATACTTTGCAAGAGTTCAAGAGATGCTTTTGATGGCTTCCTAAATCTGTTTTTATTCAAAGAGACAAGAGAAAACAGAAGATGAACCTGCTTCCTTGTTTCCTTTTATTTTAAAAGCCGCTTTGCCTCCATTTCAAGGTGTCACTGTTTCAGTATTCTGGGATTTCTATTCAATATATAAAAAAGCTCTTGAAAGATGATCAAATTCCATAAATATTTACTGAGAAACAAGGATTACTCAATTTGATGGGATTTCTCTCTACTTTGTGAGCGCTGAGAAGCTTTGGAAGTAGGGAAAATTGTTGCTTTCTTCATAGATCTTTTGCAACTTCCTCATCTAGCTTAGGGTTTCCTGTCCAAACACTAGTCAGACCTGATCCTGCTTAGCTTTCAAGCTCTGTAAAGATGCCACCTGTTGAAGCTCTACTCAGGATGAGGATTAAGGACTAAAGGCGGGGGGGGGACGGGTACCT